CTAAACCCTAAACCCAGTTTAGGGGTTTGTTTTGTTTCAAGAGCTCTCTTCGCCCGCATGCCTCTCTAAGGTTGAACCCATGGGCCGGTAGTATGGGCCCTGAACTTGGGATCCTTATACACCTACTATCTACCATATATGTACCCTAAACCCTAAACCCTAAACCCTAAACCCTAAACCCTAAACCGTGTTAGGGGCCCATTGTACTTCTAACCTTAGAGCCTGGGAATCCCAAAGGTTCAGGGCTTAGGGTAGAGAACTTCGGGCTTAGGATTTACTGGGTTTAGAGTTGATTGCTTAGGATTTACTGGGTTGTAGCTTTGGGGCCCTCCAACAAGTATTTTTGAAAAGATACCTCTATATGAACCATAAGGTAAATTAAAAAGTTTCCCAAACCCCTAAGCCCTAAACCCTAAACCTCTAAACCCTAAACCCTAAACCCGATCCTTAAGGCAGCCCAGTGTTTAGGCCAGAGTTCTGCACATCTCCCGGCCGAGGTCTCCACTCGCCCGCTTGCGTCAAGTCCTCGCGCAGGGCGGGAACCTCGGGGGAAGCGGGACTCAGGGGGTTTTGGGTTCAGGCTTTAAAAACTTTAGGCTTTAGGGTTTAGGGTTCAGGCTTTAAAGGCTTTGGGCTTTGGGCTTTAGGGTTTAGGGTTAGGCTTTAGGCAATAGGCTTTAGGATTTAGGGTTAGGCTTTAGGCTTTAGGCTTTAGGGTTTAGGGTTTAGGGTTTAGGGTTTGGGGTTTAGGAGCAGATCTCACAGATCTCGATCCTTGAAGGTCCTAAACCCTCCACAGAACAACCCCAAAGCTTGAAACTGTAGCCCCGAATCCTGACGATGAGAGCCAAAGCCCTACACCCTGAAACCGCCAAAGCCCCACATCCCTAAACCCGAAAAGCCTAAGAACACCTAAACCAATTTAGGGTTTAGGGTCACTTAAACAGTGCAAATCCTAGCATCGCGGCACTAAGCCCAGGAATTGAAGGACCATAGCAGTGAAGCCTCGCCTACCGTGGATCCCTCTTAAAGACAATGCTTTCACCGATCTATCTACCATTCAACAGCGGACCTCAAAAAGCACAACCCTAAACCCAAAAAACTGGCAACATCCCTAACTCCCAAGAGTCGTAAACCCTTATAGAAACATTCCTGTCTGAAGCCTTTACAGATCCCTGAAGCCCTAAACTCCTACAGAGCCTTGATAGATCCCTTGTGGAGCCCTTAAAGGAAACCTTAACGGAACGCTTACAGGAAGTCTTACAGGACCCCAAATGACTTCATAGGACCACTTGAAGGAACTCATTAAAGAAACTCTCAAGAGACCCTTAAACGAACCCTCAAAGGGAGCCTCACAGCAACCCTGGAAGAAGCCCTTAAGGGAACCCTTAGAGGAACCCTTAAAGACACCTTTCGACGAACTCTCAAAGAAACCCGGGGCTTCAGGGACCCTCAGAGCAACCCCATACCCGAGGCTGCCGCTTGTCGACCTCGTGGTCGAGGTCGGATTCGTGCAGCTAACGCCTCCTCATTTTAGGGTTTAGGGTTTAGGGTTTAGGGGTTGAGGGGTTTAGGGTTTAGGGTTTAGGGTGTAGGGTTTACGGCTTAGGGCTCTCGGGGCTTAGGGTAGTTAAGTGGATTGAGGGTTATGGGCTTTTGAAACTCTTTAAAGGGGGGTTGAACGGTAAGTAAGGCTATATCTACCCTGATTGGAGCTATAAGTAAATATATGTATAGTTACCTGATTTGTAACCATAGTTACGAAGCCCCATGATCAAACCCTCAACCCTAAACCCGCCATGAGGGTGTAGGGCTTAAGGCTTTTAGGGCTTTGAGGGGTTGAGGGCTTGGCGCTTTTGATTGGGGCTTTTGAGGGGCGGTTGAAGGCGTTTAGGGTTTAGGGTTTGGGGTTTGGGGTTTTTAATGGTTTTAAGACTTTTAGGGTTGAGGGTTTAGGGTCTTTAGGGTCGAGGTCTTTTAGGGCTTGGGGCTAAGGGTTTGGGGCTTTTAGGGTTGAGGGCTTAGGGCTTGTAGGGCTCAGGGCTCTTTTCCTATTACAGGATTAGGGCTTTTAGGGCTTAGAGCTTAAGGTAGAAATAGACGTAGATGTAGACGTGCACATACACGGTCTACATCAATACATGCATACACACACTCACAGCTAATCCTATCTATGTTGCACTGCGCTGTACAAAAACAGATAACATCGGAAAGGGTACTGCGCCCATACAGTAACAGTCTGTAATAGGGCTACTATTAAGGGCCTAATCTTTCCATAATATAAATTCTGTCCGACTGTTGCCCAAAATATCTGCACAGATACAGAAATGGAGAGAGGGAGAGAAACATAGAGAGAGCGAGAGCCGAGACCGAGTGCGACTGCGAGTGTGAGAGACCTAAACCCTAAAACCCTAAAACCCTAAAACCCTAAAACCCTGAAACCCTAAAACCCTAAAACCCTAAAACCCTAAAACCTTAAAGCCCTAAGCCCTAAAGCCCTAAACCCTAAAACCCTAAGAGAGCCCAGTGCCTCGGCTTGCTCCACCTCTTCTCGCAGCCGTCGGACCGTCGCCTCCTTCCAGGCTGTGGGTTTAGGGCTCAAGGCTGTAGGGCCTCGGGTTCGGGGCCTTTCGTGTGTGTTGGGGCTTAGGGTTAGCGTTTAGGGCTCTAGGGTTTGGGTTCAGGGTTTAGGGTTTAGGGTTGTTGGCTTACGGCTATAGCGTTTTCGGGGGCAGGCCTCCCGCGTTTTATGGCCTAG